CTGATTGTGTGTGATCTTACCCTGTTGTTGGGGGCTGATGCTGTTTGACTGGCCTGTGGTCTCATTATTTCTGTCTGCTGTGCTAGTTTCATTATTACTGAATACAACAGAAAAAAATCATTCGCTCACTCTTACTCATTGTCTTTTCATAGACATACAGATTTTTGTTGAATTTCAAAGGATTTTGTTTTATTTATTCATTCTTGGTTTTGTTTTGTGGTTGTATGTGTCATGCAAGGCCTGTAAAATGACAGAAAAAATTCTCCCCAAAACATTTATAGCAGAGCAAGAACCATTGTAACAAACACAAGAAATTTAGATTGCAGCAGTTGGGGAAAATGTATGTTTTTGCTATTTGATGAAAAGAATCCTATTCAATTTCTAGATAAGTTTGATGTATGCTATACTCCTTCCACAATAATGCAGATGTATGCATGAATGTGTTCAGTTACATATCCCTTCTAAGGCTAAATAATAAATTATGGTCCCCGACCGTATCATTTTCTTCACCCAGCATCAGGCTCAGTTTCAACCAAGGGCAGGTAACTCCAACTCTCTAACCTACTTTGCCAAAAACGAACGTATAACCTGCACATACGTGCCTCTCTCGTGTCTGTAATACAGGATGTGGGTGGGAGGAGGAGTTAAAGGTCGGGATTATCAAGTGCAGTTGAGACAGCAAACTAAATAGCTGCGAAAAGGGCATACTTATACCGAAAACCACCACACATTTCCTTCGGAATACGAAGATTGTTTAGGTTATGCAATAGAGCTTGTCTCCTCAGGAACTCGTTATTAGTCAGTAAATAGGGGTTTTATATTTTTATTTCCAATAACGAGTTCCTGAGCTTGTCTCCCAAAATTATGAGCTAAAAAAAGTCCCGGGGGCGCTTCCAAATGACCGAAAACAGTATACTTATTTTTTCCTAAGTAACGTGAAGATGTTGTATATACAGTTACCTGTTGCTGAAACCAAATACCCAGCTGCCTCTTCGGGATTCCGGGTTATAATAGATTGCTTGCACCCTGCTTGTCATTAGAGCTTATAACAATGAGGATTGGGTGCTAAATGTGTAATTAAAACTACTTCTATTTTATTATCTGATTTTGGCGGATCCGTTAGCTTCATACTAAAATATGTAAAATGTTGCCTTAGACCATTCATTCAAAACTGCCCTCGTTGAAAAGTGAGCTGGGTATGACCTGACTTTAGGATAGTCGAACTATGTCCCAGGAGATACCACAATTGGCTTCACACATGGCACCCATTTGGAGAACTGAAGTGTGGTACACCATTAGACTTCCCTGCCCCCATTCCCCATTGACGTACTAAGACGATGCTGGCTGGTTGTGCCGAACAGTTCATGCAGGATTGTGGTTATTCTGTGAAATTTTCTGTGGTGTTACCTGTTGGAAACATGACTCGGCCCCCAAGTCCAGTTTGAAATGTCTTCCAACAAACTTGGTTATATTTAGCAATAAAGACCTGCGTATACCAATGTTAACATCAGCAGTATAGTCCTTGTGTAATAAAGATAGTATTGTACCAACATTGTCGGGTTTATATATCAGAGGATTTTAGAAAAAAAAGTAGAACACATTTTAGAGAGGTTTCAATGAAGTTACTTGCGAATACGGCGGTGCCGCAAATTTGTTATGCAAAAGATAATACACATGCTTGTCATCAGTCAGTACTGGATAGATGCCAAATGGTACTGCATGTCAATGATTCAAGGTATGGTAATTTCATAAGTGAACAATTTGACCATATTTTTGTTGTGATTTGTTGATTGTGTGAATCCAACTGCTTCGCTCATGGATTATGTCCTTACAGGAGTATTGTGTTCAGACACTTCTATGTGTGTATATATATAAGTAAACATGGGGATTATTTGTAAATTGTTTTTAAAAATATCTACATGAAATTGAAATAAAACCTAAATGTCTCAGATCGTCTCTGTGATTTTGTTAGAATTGTTTATGTTAGAAGTTTGAGGCTAGGCAAGGAGCCATAGTCTTGACCGAATTAACTCGCCGATCACCATGTGCTGTATTTGACAGTATGTGAAGGACTTGACACTGCACACACACAGTAATCTTCACAGAAAACCATTGTACTCATGGATGTGGAAGGCCACTCGAAACCATCTATCAGTAGAACTAAAACATCTGCAGGCAAACTTTCCGTGTATGATAACCCAATGCCAAGGATGTTACCAATCGCAGAATAACCAGTGGAATTGTTCCAAGGCTCACTGAACAAGGTCGGTTGCTTGTTTGGAAATGTGTGCAAGGCGTAATATGAGGTCATCTCAAGAGAAGCTGGGGCGGTAGGGTAGCCTAGTGGTTAAAGCGTTCACTCGTCACGCCGAATACCCAGGTTCGATTCCCCACATTGATCCAATGTATGAAGTCCATTTCTGGTGTCCCACGTCGTGATATTGTAAAGAGAGAAAACGACCAGGGTTTAGAGAGAAAACGGCCAAAGTTTATTGAGAAAACGACCAAAGTTTGCTGAGAAGCACGATTGATGCAATGTATGAAGTCCATTTCTGGTGTCCCACGCCGTGATATTGTATAGAGAGAAAACGACCAGGGTTTAGAGAGAAAACGACCAAAGTAAAGAGAGAAAACGGCCAAAGTTTATTGAGAAAACGACCAAAGTTTGCTGAGAAGCACGACCAAAGTTTATAGAGAAAACGGCCAAAGTTTATAGAGAAAACTGCTGCAGTATAGGGGGAAAACGCCCACAGCAATATACTAAATCGTCAATGTGAGCTTGTAATATGGGCCTTAATCTGTTTAAAATCTCTTCTTTTTTCTTCTCCAATTCTTCTGGAATTACGAATAACACCTCCACCCTACATGTCCCCCATGTCCTTAAGATATAACAAAGTAAACCGTTCAGTTTGAATTGTTCAAAATGGCCGACACAACTAATTTAAATAGAATATGCAGCCTTCGTTCCAATTCTTTAAGTTAACCGCTGGTTTTATTTCATTCGAACTTTCAGAGAATGTTTTTGTTTCTGCTTCACCATGAAGTACGTGTTTTGTGTTTTATACTTATTATTATTTTATCATTAAGAATTATGGTAAATCTGATTATATGAAAAACTGATGAGGTAGGCTGAATGATACTGGCTTCTAACATTTACAACTCCTGCGACTGTGTGGAACATTCCTTCCTTCCTAATGGCTCCATTTTGCCTATAAAAAGGGAGTCTAATGGGTCTGGCATCAGCTGTTAGGTTTCTTTAAAACTTGTCTGTTTAACGTGTACAGCAAACATTCGGTGTATCCCCTCTAATCATAAAGCCCCCATAGCCCCTCATAGCCCCCCATAGAGTATATTTGTCCAAGAGCTCAGAGGGATATTCAGGTGCTGTATCCGTATAACGCTGGTAAGTAAGAGAGATGATTTTGTACTCTATTTTGAAGTGGCAGCCAGTGCATTTGTTTCATAGTTGGTGTAATATGGGTGTGTTTGGCATTTCGGGTTACAACGCGGGCTGCTGTATTTTGCTCAGATGAAGTTTACTGAGGAAATCTTTTGAGATGTTGATGAAAAGGCTATTGCAGTAGTCAAGTTTTGATATTACTAGAGATTTCACCAGGAGATGGGTTGCCTCTGTTGTAAGATGTCTGATATTGGCGATATTGCGACGATTGTACCTGCACATTTTGCAGATTCTGTTGATGTGTGATTCCATAGTAAGTCCCGGCTCGAGGTAAACCGGCACCCCAAGTGTCTTCACTTGCTTTCCAAGATGGACACGAGCATCACAAACAAGAATTTCGCCAACATATCTCTTGAAGTAAGACAAGTTCTATGGATGAGCAACTTCTATATTACAATTAGTGCGACGTTTCGGTGTAGATCCCTTGCTTGATAAAGGTGTTAGGATCTACACCGAAACGCCGCACTAATTGTAATATAGAAGTTGCTCATCCATAGAACTTGTCTTACTTCATCACACCAACTTCTAAATGCCACTGAAAGAAGTTAACATTACTCTTGTCTCGCATGGTGGCGGCACCTACTAGCTAAGCTGCAGACTTGCTATAATAAAGTTGTAGCCGATACTCAGTCATTCTTTATGTATGTTATCCGTCTCGACGTATCTTATCATGCCTCTGTATTAAGGTATGTTATCAAAATGTCTACATTTTTGTTATGTTTCTATATATATGTTATCATGTTTCTGTATATATGTTATCATGTTTCTGTATAAAGATATGTTATCATGTAACTGTATATATGTTATTATCCGTCTCTACGTATGTTATCATGCCTCTGTATTTACGTATGTTACCATGCTTCTACATTTTTGTTATCATGTTTCTGTATATATGTTATCACGTTTCTGTATATAGATATGTTATCATGTAACTGTATATATGTTATTATCCGTCTCTACGTATGTTATCATGCCTCTGTATTTACGTATGTTACCATGCTTCTACATTTTTATCATGTTTCTATATATATCATGCTTCTGTATATAGATATGTAATCATGTTTATATGTTATCATGCTTCTGTATATAGATGTTATAATGCTTCTATATATATGTTATCAAGTTTCTGTGTATATATATGTTATCTTGCTTCATAATATACATGTATGTCATGATTCTGTTGACATGTTATCATGCTTCTGTATTTGTGATGATACATATATGTTATGGTGCTTCTGTATGTATGTTACTGACGTGGTATATTTAATGGTGAGAGTTTCCTATATTGGATAATTTGTTCAAAATATTTTTCATTGACTGAATATATTTAAGCAGACGAGTTCCTATCCAAGATGGATACCTCCTCCATCGACATAGTGTAGCCAATGGTTGAATAAACCGTTCTTCTATTGGTATATTTTCTTCCAAGAAGTTCAGTCAACTCCAAAATTAACAAATGAACACAATCGCAATGACTTCCTTTGAAGGTGAAATCATTTGGCATAACGAGATACATGTGTATTCATGACAAAAGAAAGGGTTTGAATTTTGAATACTTTATTACGAATGTTTAAATTCTACGTCCCAGATGTTGGGAATTAAAACCTAACATCCTGCTACATGTATTGTCTAAATATGTATATCACAACACTGAACGTCAAGACGCTACCGTGTAGTCTAGCAACAGTTTTAAAACATCAGTGCAAAACAGGTAGATGGTGAGACTCACTACACGTTGAGTACTTGCTCGTCAAAAGTATTGGTCGGAAGTCAGATTCTAATAGGGAATGTCTCAACCAATACACGTGTGTATTGTACACTTATTATATCTAACAATGAACTACTTGAATACCCGTCTGTGGGCTTATCAAATATTGTGTTTTAACTCCTTTCTTAAACCTTGGTAGGGAGAGTATGTTTCGTGAGAGGAAATGTCATTTAATTTTGAAAATAAAATTACCACCGACGAACAAATACTCATCTTGTTGTGGCCTAAAATATTGATAATTCATATCTTGACAGTATTATTTGGCAAAAAATCAGAGCCACCCTGAAAATGACGATTGCATCCACGGAGTGAGTGAATGAATGTTGTTTTACACCACAGCTTAAGTTCCAGCTCTATCACGACGACCTGGTAATAGCCAAGTCAGCTGTTGAAAATATGAACCACATCGCGAGCTGCGATGACACGTTCAGCCCAACCACACTCTGGAATACCAACATGGCATTAGTCTATCAAAACGGTTTTCAAAAACCTACTCGATGTTGGAATTATTTCTGTCACGTGACATGACACTGATGTCTTTCTCCAAGTTACAAGAGCTCCTCCCGACTATATAACCTACAATCATGATACACGATGTAACACAAAACTGTTGTCATGTCATAAAACCAAGGCAAGTGCTTGGTACACCTCGCGCTTATTGTTATTGCGCATGTGGTGAGGCGCTTCCGGCGAACTACATCAAATACTTGTATCGCTACTCCACTAGACGACGCGATGTGGTAGAATGGCGTTCAGTGACGGTCAACGGATAGTACCACTCTTAGAGCGGCCTGCACGGACATTTTTCCCATGTTTCAGAAAATAGAAAAGATTACTTATCACCAAGCACAAAACCATTTCAAAGGAATAAAAGGCCAGGGCAAAATCTTGAAAATATTCTCCAGGCGTATAAATGTTTTCTTACCAAATATCAATGAACTAACTTCACAACCATACAGCAACCTCGCGTCCAGGGTGAGGCGTCCCTTTAGTGTGGGGAGCAGAAGGTTTCAAAATACCAAGGAATTTGTAACAATTAAATCAAATCAAGTGTATAGTATGTTTAGCTCTGAGTGGACGTTCTCGTTCACAGGTTACAGATGCCATTATTTTCACTGTCCGTGTTGTTTAGTTAGGTTGAAATGCATTCCACTTGAATATGCATTTTTTATACCACGATATATATAAACCGTTAGTACAGCTGAGACATTATTGCATGTTTCGTAAGTAGTAAGTGGGTATAGTTTTAGGTCGGGGAATCGAACACTTTAACCCCAAGGCCTCCCTCCAGTCCCGTTTTGTAAGGACAGGTGTTACATTTGTAATAAAACTACCGGTATCTTTGTACATCTTTCTGTTTCTTTACCATTTTCGAACTCATTATTAGGCATTTACAAGCATTCATGATCACAATGTTTTATGGATGTATTTTTATTATTTTTTAATTATTATTTACAGATTAAACTTAAAATGCAGCAAAGAGGGTTGTATAATTATTATTATTATTATTATTATTATTATTATTATTATTATTATGTTTGTAGATTTTTTCCGAACATCTAAAGGATTCATGAAAGGTGATAAGATTTTCATAACAACTTTCATACAATTAAAAAAACGAGAAAACGAGAAAGAACATTCCTATATAAGGTCAGGAATATATACATCATCAATGTACATTGAGTACAAACAGTTCACACTGACTACGTGCATCATACTACCAACCGTGGTGGTGGCAGCACCGCACTACTCAGAAACTAACATCCACTCACGGCCACTAACTGGCATTTGATATCATATATAGTTCATCCATGTGCGGAAAAACCCAACCGAAAAAAAAAACATACAAGGGTTTTGAACATGTGACATCAAAATATAAATTAAATCGATGTCGATAATTTTGAAATCCATTACTATCGTACTATACAGGGCACTTTGCGTAATCACAACCACATTTCCAAAGCCTTCTATTGGCTAACTGTAACAATATGTTTATATAACTCAATATCACGCTGACAATGGTGAATGACGACTTGTCATAGAAAAATGGAATATTTCGTAGTTAACGAGAAAACCACCACGAGGCGATAAGGTATAAAAGTACTCAACGGAATTGTAAAAAAATCTTCGCAATGTGAACAAACAGCCAAGACGTGTAAAACATGAACCGTGCTACTATATACAATGATGCCTGCTTCCGGCAACATGGGTCCGTGTTGGACAGCCCGGAAGCGTCTGACGCCTTGTATTGCTATGTCAGTAGAAAGAATCCTTTCTGTGTAGGGAATATATAAATACACACTCGTCTGTCCAACCTTCACAAACACAACCATCCACAGTCACTTGAACCAAAACTAAAAATGTGAGTTTCTACATTAAATTGAAAGACGTCATTTTCAACTTTGGTGTCAAGAGCTCTGCACTACGTTCTAGTAAGAATACAGGTTTCAAAATCTGCTCAAATGGTTTCATATAGCTAATAATGTATGTACGCTAGTCGTTCACTGTCAACAAAATCACAACAGTGACACTGAGTTTCTACATGAATCTAGAGATTGACCAATCGCAGGCTTCGTTACTGGTGTTCCAAGTGACCTTGACAAAACGTAACCATGTTTCCCGGTGTGGGCAGAAATAGTATCTTCTTCCTCTACTTAAAGCATTTAAAAGAAAGAAATGACTCGGTTTCGTCCATTTCCACAACTACATGAATCCTGACGCTTGTTGACAACAGGGCGACATGGCATGACACTGCATCTCTTGACGTCTGTCTTCGTTTTTCGTGCATATCCACTGTCCAGGAACGTTTTGACACAACCGTGAGTCCCTTCGTATATACCCCAATAGCGTGCTGGAACCCATCACTTTCAGAACTTTAAAGACCAGTCGGGCAATAAAGCGACTCTCAACACTGAACATGTCTGATCGGACTCTTATCAGACGACACATGATTGGTGGATACAGACACGTGACCTATGACGTAATGTCATCGTCATCAATGCAGTGCTCACTATACTAGCCATTCATCAAAGACGAGCGACGCCGTCGGTTGTCCCCAGCGGGATTGAGGAGTACGGGGGTGGGGCATCGGGGCGCGTCGAGGTGATTCCGGGGCGAAACAGCTGCTTCAGACGCTGAAACATTTGGGGCAGAAGTCATTTTCTGGCTGTAATCGATATATGTTAAACCCATATATTCACGAATAAACATTAAAGTCTTTTCATTTCTGTTATTGAAAAGATCAACAGTTAAAATTATTCGCCGTGTTGCGTCCTCATAATCAGCCCGAGTCTTGATTTGGACCAACGATCAGCGGATCCCGACACGGCCAAGGGACGAAACTCTGCACAATGAAGTCCATCTCTTTAGGTAACTTGACCACCAGTGCTACTAAATTATATGAATGCATTATATATATATATCCTGAACAAATAAATTTCAGATCATGAACATTTTTGGGGATATTTTATTAAATTTTGGGGTTTAATCAAATAATTTTTATTAAAAATGGATTGGTCAACAGGCGCAATGCCCATATGAAGATCTCTCCGAGGATTTCATTTATGAAATTGTGCGCTCAGTCTTTACAACTAAAACATTTCCTCCAAAGTATTCATGATCCCTAATTTTGTGTTGTTCAGTATAGGTCGTTGTTCTGACCTGCCGCAAGGGCCCAGGGGTGACGATGATCTTGTATACGGCGTATATGGGGATTATTCCTATAGATGAAAGCGCCAACAGGCATCCCACAGCATGTGCCCATGTTGGGAATTCGTAATCAATGTACTTCACTGGCTTAAAGGATGACATGGTAAATATTGTCACACCCTGAAAAGGAAAGAGTGTTTATGTTATAGGGTATACTTCGTGAAGAAGATTGGCAAAACGTAAGGCTAATGTTGATAGTATAAGGTTTTCTTAATCATTCGATATTCGGCGCCATTCTCCCTTGTTTGTCGGCTTGGAAACGCCAGACAGGAGGATTAGTGCGGGGCGATCTTAATGCGACGATGATCGTAAGTCTTTGCTGAAGTATGGGTGTACGATCTACTTAGCACTAAGACCATTTTGCGGAACTGAACCTAGGAACTTGGCGGGTTCTTTTGACATGGGGAGTTGAATCAACTGGGAATAACACATCAATGTAACCCGTGAACCTGGGAGTGGGGATGCATTTTTTAGGGAGGGGGGAGGGAGATGTTAAACACACACGTGTGGTGGTGGCGGTGGGAGCGACTCACCAACGTAACGGCGGGGTAGGGGGAATACTCACCAACGTAACGGCGGGGAGGGGGGGGGGGGGGGGGACTCACCAGCGTAATGGCGGGGTAGGGGGAAGACTCACCAGCGTAATGGCGGGAGTGGTGACACACCAGGCCACCTTCCAAAACACGCTGGGGTAGAATCCCAGCATCTCCCTCAGGTTCTCGTAGAAGTTGTTTATACCTGAAAGACAACAATTGACACACGCAGTCAGCATCCAATCCTGATGAAACAAATTTAAATTGTCCTGAACAAAAATAAGATCGCCGATCGCTCCCTATAGACTCTTAAGTGAATGAGTCTGATTGTGCGCCGCTTTTAGCAATAATCTAGCAATATCACGACGGGAGACACCAGAAATGGGCTTCACACATTGCACCCATGTCGGGAATCGAACCCGAGTGAACACTTAACCGCTATGCTTTCCCACCGCCCCTGTGAAGTGTTGACATTCTGAAGACAGTATACTATACCGTAGGCCCACGACACGGCTATACACTCGAAGAATATCAGGATGAGCAGGCCCATCCCGCTGGCAGCGTAGGTATCGAAAATAGTAAACACGTACATCCCACCCTGAAACAGACACACAGTAAAAACTAGTGATGTTAATGAACACTGCCGAGCAAAAGAAACTACACCGAACTTAATTTATATATGTCAGACTTGACAAAAAAAGACGAGACGATATTCCAAATGTAGGTTTGAAATCGTGATATTAGCAAACAGATAATAATGAAATACAGTCAAACACCGTTGTGTCGAACTTTGATATGTTGAACTTACGGTTGTCTCGAAGTAAAAATCATGACCCCTGCATTTCCTTCTTTATTCATCATTTTCGGTTGTGTCGAACCTTGGATAACTCGAGGTATTTACGTAGGGCCCTTCAACTTCGACACAACCGTGATTGACTGTAGTTATAATGGCAGCCACTAGGCGAGATTTAATCAAAACGCGCCAGCACACGACGTCTTCGAGACTTCGTTCGATGGCGGATAACGTCATTCGGCACCATTCTTCCCTGAGTGCCTGGTATTAATGTCATGTGTGTCAATACGAGTGTTAAGTCGTGTTCTAATCTGGCGATAAAGGTGGTTCAACAGCTGTTCACTGGAGAAGTCAATGGAAAAATGTTGATGTTATTGACCTCTAGAAAATGACGGACGATGCATGCTGTATGTGGTCTACCGTAAGGGCAGGACATCCTTACCCTTTTCGCGAAAAACCCGGTTTCATCACTGATTTTCAGTTATCCGTTTATTTAATTTTCACCATCATTTTGCCTTTATGCCCAATGGAATCGGTTTGGGGCAGATAATCGAGACTGAGTATTCTCTGGCGTTGAGGTATATATTTGCTTTGTCATGTCGTCAACGAGTCGTGTGTTCTTCCCGAAGAGCTCTAGCATCTACTCTAGCTGGAACCTGCTCTCATCAGAAAACATGACTCTATGCCAATACTGGTACGAGTCTTTGAGTCAACGTGGTCCCGCGGAAAGGCATGTAGGCCAGTGTAGTCGTCTGGATACAGAGAAGCGACCGAAATGCCCTAGGGCAGCTAATGCTGATGACGCCAGGCAAGAAACGGTTCCCCAAATGAAGAATACCCAAATAACGATCTTCGTTGGGTGTGATGACACGTGTCCTGCCTGTCCGGATTTGCCCAATGTCCACCTGTGTGTTCGTATCGTGACGACAAGCTGGTGATTGTGTCACCCCGGCAACCCAAGTGTCCAGCGACCGTGTCATGTCTGGCTCCCAACTGAAGCCTTTAATGGCCCTTTCTGTTCTGCCGGTACACCTGGCATTTATACTGTTGGTCTCTGGACTCTTTATTCATTGACGAATTTCTGTTCAGTAGACCTATATGCATCCTGTGGTCAAACTGCACGTGCACTTCCAATATTGGCCTGAATAAAGTCATTGTTCAAAGTGAACCAAACCAAGATTTTGCAGTTGCATACGTGTCTGTTGCATTTCTACGATTGATTTTACATAATTTTGGAACTTTGCTTCGTGTTCGAATCCAAATATGATCATATTGATTTTGGTAGTTTCTTTTGCTCGTCAGTGTAGTACAGGGTTGTCTGAAGAAGTCAATCTCTATCAACTAACTAAAGTAAGGAGCACGCACAGGCTTTGTATAGCGAATGCACTGTGATCTATTCATAAATATTTTTCAGAACAGATATTACTTTATTTAAACTATGAACCTGATTTTTTGGCAACAATGTTATTTTTTTGTGGCAGACAAGAAGAATTTTTTCAACAGTGGTAGCATTTGGATAACATATTGTATGATACATTACCTGCTAGACTGGCAACGTTATAAAATTCAATTCAAAATATAGACAAAAGGATCCTGTATTGCTTAAATCAGACGTGCCAAGTTTGTCCAGTTGACCTTTAACTGGATATTAAATGTTCTTTAAAGGTTCTTCATTTGCGGACAGAATTGTCGCGTGTTTAGCTTCAGATTTATCTAATTCCGCCTGGTCCGCTTGGTGTTAGTCAGCCGACTTCGGACCAGACAAACCATGAAGTGGTCGAGTCCCACTTCGTTTTGGAACAGTGACACACGATAAGCAGGTCGAACGAGAGTTGTCTCCCCTAGCGGTCACCCATTTGGGTCAATACGATACACATTTTAACTGAACGATGCAACAAACAGGATGTAACGGATAGGAGCGGAAGTCTCTAATCGGGTCAAGAAATATTGGCATATCAACATGTAATACAAACGAACCTCCGTCACCATGGAAAGCCCAATTAAATACGACAGAAAGCACACGCCGCCTATAAACAGCTCTCGGTGTTTGCGGAGCTTGTGGGGGAATTCGTCTATCAGAGCCGTGAAGAATCCTTCCATAGTACAGAACTGAAACATGAAAAGTTCAGCTAGGGTTAATGTAAGATTGTGAGCGATGTTCGTTTGATTGATGCATGCTCAACACAATAGAGGGATCTAGATACTTTGATGCCATGCTTGTTTATTCGGTTATTTCGAAAACTGGAATCGTTCATGGTAAACGCATTCGTGACCAACTCGTGTTATTCCGGGACAAGCCGAATAGCGACTCGTGCCCCTCTCATGGCCATTTTTGCGACCGGGTTCTGTCTTAGCGCAAACGGGCATACCTAAAACAATTGAAATAAAAAAATATTTCTGAGTGATTCTTTGACAAAGAACTTAAAATCATACGCGCATTGTGATTGGTTTGTCGTATTTTCGCACATAACATTCATCGACAGGGGGACGAGTCTTCTTGCAGATTACGGAAAGGGGCGAGTGGTGACGAATGATGGCAAACGCTGGTACAAAATATGGAATAAATGGTGTACAAACGAAATATGAGTTAAGGATATTACGGATATATTAAAACTTAATAAAGTCTCTGCTCGGTCGGAAATAAACTGGTGCCCAAAAGTTTAGTACAAAAGTGTTCCACATCCGGTTATAGGTGCGGATGCGCGGCATCCTTATTTACAAATGTCTACACCCTCGTAAGTTTGTTTTAGGCAATACATATTAATATGATAAACTGTTCTGCTGATGTTAATTTTACTTCACAAAGAAACTTCACGTAGTCCGCTATTTGTTTTCATTCGATACCAAGGACCGGTGAATGCGATATGTATGTTTAGTGTCGATCTTCTCGTTTAGGTAGAAAGAAGACTAGGTGACACCTCCCGTTCTGGAGTATAATAATGATGATGATAATAATAATAATAATAATAATAATAATAACAATGAGTGAATATGGTTTTACGCCGCTTTAGCAATATTCCAGCAATATCACGGCAGGGGACACCAAACTTCACACATTGTACCCATGTAAAGAAAAATCGAACCCGGGTTTTCGGCGTGCCGAGCGAACCCACCGCCTCAAAAAATAAATAATAAATAATAAATAATAATAATATGCAATGGATCAGTGTGCACTCTCATGTCATTCTCAGCTCCCTGAGGAGTATACGTCGTTTGTCAACTCACCTGACTGTCCATACCCAGCATGATCAACATGGAGAAGAACAGGATGGACCAGAGTGGCGAGATGGGGAGCTGGGTCACTGCTGACGGGTAGGCAAGGAACGCCAGACCGGGACCTAGACAAGCACATTCAGTATTATTAGTAGTGGTAGCACCCGTGAAGATCCGGGTTAGAATAGGTCTTCAACAACCCATGTTTGTCGTAAGAGGCGACTAACGGGATCGGGTGGTCAGGCTCTCTGACTTGGTTGGTGCATGTCATCGTATCCAATTACGTGTGTCGATGCCCATGATATCAATCACTGGATTGACTGGTCTCGATTATTTACAGACTGCCGCCATAAAGCTGGAATATTGCTTAGTGCGGCGTTACACAACAAACACACTTTGTAGTTTTATTGGAGACAAGTGAAGCCGGCTCTAAATTTGGAGCACCAGTGAAAAAAATTATGTCCCATACAATTCCCTAACTTTGCCGCGTGTTTTTTTTCAGGTGAACAGTTGACTTGCCTTTGCGTGTGTATCATCACTTTTTGATAGTGATTCATAAACACATGATAATCATATAGTCGGAATTGTACTGTGGATAATTATGATTATGGAAATGTTTGTTGTCGCTTTTATTTATAATTATTATGTGCATCATCGTCAATATCATTAGATCCGGGGGAGAATCGGTATTCAGCAGCACATACTTGTCGTAGCATCATGTAAAGCACTCATTTTACCTCCGGCGGCTACTTTGCTGACGTGTTTCTTCTGCTCATGCGCCATGAACCCGACGACGGAGAAGATGACGAAACCGGCGAAGACGCTAGTGGAGCTGTTGAGGCAGGAGATGAGGACAGCGTCCCTGAGGAGGAAGGTAGAAATAGCGCGTGAGTGTGATATGACCTTCAACCCATGCTGCCTGTAACGCCTTTCAGGCAGACACGCCTTTGTACTTACTTGAACACATTGTACTGATTTGTACACGTTGTTGTACATACTTGTACACGTTGTTGCACTTTTTGCACGTTGTACCTACTTGTTCTTAGTTGTACGTGCCCTTGTACTTGAACACGTACTGAGTTCCACATGTTGTACTTACTTGTATACATTGTTGTACTTACTTGTATACATTGTTGTACTTTCTTGTACACGTGTTGTACTAACTTGTACTTATTTTTGTACTTACTTGAACACGTTGTACTTACTTGTACTTATTGTTGTACTTACGTGTACTTATTGTTGTACTTACTTGAACACGTTGTACTTACTTGTACTTATTGTTGTACTTACTTGTACTTATTGTTGTACTTACTTGTACACGTTGTTGTACTTACTTGTACTAGTTGTTGTACTTACTTGTACACGTTGTTGTGGAATCTGTTGTAGCTGCCGAGAGCTATCATGGTGCCGAGTCCCAGACCATAGGAGAACAGGATCTGGGACGCCGCATCTATCCACACCTGTAACAATAAGTCGTAGTCGTAGTGATGCTTCGGTGACAAACCAAAGATCGAAATCGCAGCAAATTCGGGATTCGAACCCACGTTCTGCGGATCCTGACGTGTTGTCCAAGTTTATAACCCTCACTGACACGTTGTGTTTATCTCGGCACTCGGCTTTTCTCTATGTACGGATAACTTCATACATTTTCCATCTTCCCGAGGCAAGAGCGTTAACTGACTTTAAAAGTCCAGTTTCCACCCTTGCCGAACTAGGCTGGAATTACTGGGCTCGATCGTAGCGCCACCAGTGTCTATTACCCGTTATGTCCCTTCTAAGCCTCTCCTATGAACCAATCAGATTCCACCTCTCGTATCACTTGCGTTTGCTTCACAAAAAATGGTGGCGCCCGGTCAGGACGATCTGATTGATAATCAAGATCTAAAGTGTGATAAAACGGGTCTTACATCGCGAAATGCATCAAATCACGTGAGCACTTTGATTAAAAACATGAAAAGAATTGGAAAATATCTGCTGACAACGAGTTGGCGGTGCACATGCTTTGCAAATCCTGCAATCAACCGAAATCTGCACGACAGTTTACGAACCGGATTTCTATATCGGTGCGCAATTTTGATTGGACTATGCATAGACTCGTTAGTCCAGCCAAAATGTAACTCCACAATACAAGCCTAGTTCGGCAAGGGGGGAAACTGGAATTTTATAGTCAGTTAACACTCTTGCCTCCGGAAGATGTACATTTTCATGGTCCATGAACTCAACAACACACTGCTGTTTCAACTGCTGCTGATCATGATGACTGTGGTGATGCTGCTGCTTCAACAAGGTGACCTACCTGCGACTCCTTAAGTCTCGCCATGTCCGGGACGATGTAGAACCGGATGCCATCCATGGCGCCTGGCAGGGTGAGTCCCCGGATGAGGAGGCTGAACAAGACGACGTATGGAAACAACGCCGTGAAGTACACCACCTGTAACAACAGACGTCGTCACTCAGTGTGGTGTGTGGGTGGTCGGGTGGGTGGGATGGTGTGTGGGCGGTAGAGTGTATGGGTGGTTGGGTGGATTGACGCGTGTGTGGCTGGTCAGGTGGGTGGTTGGGTGTGTGGATGGTAGAATGTGTGGGTGGTCAGGTGGGTGGTTGGGTGTGTTGGTGGTAGAGTGTGTGGGTGGTCGGATGGGTGGTTGGATGTGATAGTAGTAGAGTGTGTGGTCGGGTGGGTGGTTGGGTGTGCGGTTAGTCGGGGGTGTGGTTGAGCGTGTGGGTGGTCAGGTGGTAGATCGCGTGGGTGGTCGGGTGTGTGGGTGGTCGGGTGTGTGGGTAGTCGTGTTGGTGGTTGAGTGTATGGGTGGATAAGTGTGTTGGTGGCCTTTTGGGTGGTCGGGTGGGTGGTTGAGTGTGTGGGTGGTCGGTTAGATGAGTGAGTAATGCAGGAAGTAAGAATGTGAAAAGTGAACTTCGGATGTAAGGAACTGGTATTAATATTAGCCCTCAGGGACCGACCATTTAATCTGTCGGGATGGGTGGTGGGAGGTTTTATCGAAAAAAGAAATTGTCCCAGAAAATGCTTGAAAGAAATAGTCATGGTCCAGCTTGTTGAAAAAAATCCTTGCATACAAGACATCTTATTGTTGTTGCTTTGTTAGACTTTGTGTTCTGGGCCACCATTTCTGAACACTACAGCTGTGCTGGATAAAAACAATGGTTACGAGTTAAGTATCATTACTGATGGTGAATCGTAATTCTATTGCCTGATTCAAAATGAAATGTTTACACGATGTGATTTACTGTTATTACCATCAGTGTTTACTGTAGGGCCACGGCACACACACACGTATTGTAATTAACTTTAATGATCTCCCCAAAGAACAAGCCAATGAAAAAAACTGCGGAAATTAACTCCGTTTGAGCAATCAAATGTGTCCGCAGTGAAGATGTCGAACATATCTGATTGGCTGCAAGTACTACTGAAGTCCCGCAGTGAATGCTCAATGTGAATGTTATTGGCCTACCTTGCCTGTCCACTTGACCCCTTTCCATATACAGAAGTAGCAGAGGATCCACATTGTCAGCAGCGTGAGGGCCAGCTGCCATCTCAGCCGACCGGGTGTCGCTATACCATCTGTAATCTGCAGGGCGTACCGACTGGAACATGTCAATAATAATAATAATATTAAGTGAATATGGTTTTACGCCGTTTTAGCAATATTCCAGCAATATAACTTAAACACGTTCCTTGTCACATGGGGGCAAATAAAAGCTATTTTAGCTATAAATGGATTATTTTGTTTCTGTTTGTTTGTTGCTTAACGCCACACTCAGCAATATTCCCGCTGTATGACGGCGGTCTGTAAATAATCGAGTCTGGACCAGACAATCCAGTGACTGACATCATGAGCAACGATCCACGCAACCAGCAACCAAGTCAGCGAGCCTGACCACCCGATTGACATCATGAGCTTCGATCCACGCAATTGGGATCGATGACATGCATCAACCAAGTCACCCGATCCCGTAAGTCGCCTTTTTCGGCAAGCATGGGTTGCTGAAGACCCCGGATCTTGACGGGTCGGATTATTTGGAGATGGGTGGACGGTAGTAACTAACAGAAGTTAAGTGTCTTTCGTAGTGATCAGATATACCTTCATTGTCAGAGTCCTGTACGAGAGAAATACTATGAGCCATACAGCAACAACGCTTTGAGGAACACATAGATTTATAAACCTTGGCTGTATACAACCCTGCATAAATACGTGATTACTGATCTTGTAGTTCATCAGTAGCGCGATTAGATCTATATCTTCAACAGCTCGGACTGAGTACAACAAATTGGGGATTTGACAATATACTTACAACCAGAATTCTTCGACCGGCGAATTAAAACGATTCGCGTCGTACGTCTGTGTGCAGTTGTAGTCGGGGTACATGCTAAGGACGGTGGAGGAGTTGAGAGTCGACGTGATGTTGACCTCAAACCAGGTTGTCTCGTTCGTGCAGTTGAATGGGAGTTTGTGGAAGTCGTACTCGGACAGGCACTGGCCAGTGTTCCACCAGTTGTCGCAGTGAGACCAGTAGAGCTGGGACGTGAAGGAGCAGCACAGGTAGAACAACCCCCACGACAGGATGACGATGTAGTAGGCGTTCAGCCACGCCGCCATCACGGCAGCAGCGTAACCCACACCTGCAACAACGGTCGCAGTCTTGTCACTTGTCCGTGGGCGTGTTACAGTGTGGAGGAGTGGGTTCGCGAATGTTGGGTGTGCGTCGTGAATGGATGAGTGACCCTGTGTTTGGATGAGTGAGTGAAGGAGTAAGTGACCCTGTGTTTGGATGAGTGAGTGAAGGAGTAAGTGACCCTGTGTTTGGATGAGTGAGTGGATGAGTGAGTGACCCTGTGTTTGTATGAGTGAGTGGATGAGTGAGTGACCTGTGTTTGGATGTGTGAGTGAGTGAGTGGAGTGAGTGGATGAGTTAGTGACCCAGTGAGTGGATGAGTGAGTGACCAAGTGTTTGGATGTGTGAGTGAGTGAGTGGATGAGTGAGTGACCAAGTGTTTGGATGTGTGAGTGAGTGAGTGGATGAGTTAGTGACCCAGTGAGTGAATGAGTGAGTGACCCAGTGTTTTTGATGTGTGAGTGAGTGGATGAGTGAATAACCCAGTGTTTGGATGAGTGAGTGGATGAATGAGTGACCCAGTGTTTGGATGAGTGAGTGGATGAGTAATTGGATGAGTGAATGACCCAGTGTTTGGATGAGTGAGTGAGTGGATGAGTGAGTGACCCTGGGTTTGGATGTGTGAGTGACAGAGTGGATGAGTGAGTGACCCATTGAGTGGATGAGTGAGTGACCCAGTGTTTGGATGAGTGAGTGACCCAGTGTTTGGATGTGTGAGTGGATGAGTGAGTGAGTGAGTGAGTTGGTGAGTTAGTGACCCAGTGTTTGAATGAGTGAGTGGATGAGTGAGTGACCCAGTGTTTGGATGAGTGAGTGGATGAGTGAGTGACCGTAGGTTTGGATGTGTAAGTGGATAAGTGAGTGACCATAGGTTTGGATGTGTGAGTGGATGAGTGAGTGACCCTGGGTTTGGATGTGTGAGTGAGTGAGTGGATGAGTTAGTGACCTAGTGAGTGGATGAGTGAGTGACCCAGTGAGTTAATGAGTGAGTGACCCAGTGTTTGGATGAGTGAGTGGATGATTGAATAACCCAGTGTTTGGATGAATGAGTGAGTGGATAAGTGAGTGACCATAGGTTTTGATGTGTGAGTGGATGAGTGAATGACCCAGTGTTTGGATGAGTGAGTGGGTGAGTTAGTGAGCCAGTGAGTGGATGAGTGGATGACCCAGTGTTTGGATGAGTGAGTGGATGAGTGAGTGACCCAGTGTTTGGATGAGTGAGTGAGTGGATGAGTGAGTGACCCTGTGTTTGGATGAGTGAGTGGATGAGTGAGTGCCCCATTGTTTGTATGAGTGAGTGACGCAGTGTTTGGATGATAGAGTGAGTGGATGAGTGAGTGCCCCAGTGTTTGGATGAGTGAGTGACCCAGTGTTTGGATGAGTGAGTGAGTGGATGAGTGAGTGACCCAGTGTTTGTATGAGTGGGTGACCCAGTGTTTGGATGCGTGAGTGACCCAGTGTTTGTGTGAGTAAGTGACTCAGTGTTTGGATGAGTGAGTGAGAGGATGAGTGAGTCACCCAGTGTTTGGATGCGTGAGGGAGTGGATGTTCGAGTGACCCTGTGACCCATAAAATATAAAAGCACACACGACAAATTCATCAATACACACCCAAGTTCATAAATACAGTCACGACAAGATCACCTATACAGTCATGACGAGGTCATTCATTCCGTAAATATAAAAGCATGACAAGTCCATCAATGCACACACGACAAGTCCATCAATACACACCCAGGTTTATCAACACAGTCACGACAAGGTCACCTATACAGTCATGACGAGGTCATTCATTCCGTAAATATAAAAGCATGTCAAGTTTATGAATACAGTCATATCAGGTTCATCAATACACACACGACAAGTTCATCAATACAGTCACGACAAGTTCATCAATACAGTCAAGACAAGTCCATCAATACAGTCATGTCAAGTCCATCAATACAGTCACGACAAATTCATCAATACAGTCATGAAACGTTCATCAATACAGTCATGTCAAGTCCATCAATACAGTTAAGACAATTTCAACAATACAGTCATGACAAATCCATCAATACAGTCATGTCAAGTCCATCAATACAGTCATATCAAGTCCACCAATAGTCATATCAAGTTGATCAATACAGTCATGTCAAGTCCATCAATACAGCCATGTCAAGTCCATCAATACAGTCATGTCAAGTCCATCAATACAGTCATGTCAAGTCCATCAATACAGTCATGTCAAGTCCACCAATACAGTCAAGACAAGTCCATCAATACAGTCATGTTAAGTCCATCAATACAGTCACGACAAGTTCATCAATACAGTCATGAAAAGTTCATCAATACAGTCATGTCAAGTCCATCAATACTGTCATATCAAGTTCATCAATACAGTCATGTCAAGTCCATCAATACAGTCAAGACAATTTCATCAATACAGTCATGTCAAGTCAACCAATACAGTCATGAAAAGTTCATCAATACAGTCATGTCAAGTCCATCAATACAGTCATATCAAGTCCACCAATAGTCATATCAAGTCCATCAATAAAGTCATGTCAAGTCCATCAATACAGTCATGTCAAGTCAACCAATACAGTCATATCAAGTCAATCAATACAGTCATGTCAAGTCCATCAATACAGTCATGACAAGTCCATCAATACAGTCATGTCAAGTCCATCAATACAGTCACGACAACTTCATACTGATACTGTCACAAGCTCACCCATACAGCCCACTAATGCAGTCGCGACAAGATGATTGATACAGACATTTTCTCACCTTTGAATATTGGACTGATCTTCCAGATGCCCAGTCCCCCAACGCTGAAATACTGCCCCAGAGCCAGTTCCATGAAGTACATAGGGATGCCAGCCAGGAACGCCGTCAGGAAGAAAGGAATGAAGAAAGCCCCTGAAACATCGTACCAAGGCCATGTTAAGGGTCAGATCAAACAAGGTACGGTATCAAGGTCGTGTCAAAGGTCAGATCAAACAAGGTACGGTATCAAGGTCGTGTCAAAGGTCAGATCAAACAAGGTACGGTATCAAGGTCGTGTCAAAGGTCAGATCAAACAAGGTACGGTATCAAGGTCGTGTCAAAGGTCAGATCATAACCAAAAGAACACGGTTTCAAGCAGTTTGTCCAGATATTGCCTACTGAGGAGTTAGACAAACAATGAACACTAAGTACGCCCCCCGAACTAAGTGTAATAACAAGTAAGTGTAAAAGTGTCAAATTAAGCTTGTAATCTACGATACCGCTACTTTCACAATACGATATAACCCTAAAATCCAATGTATACGCCTGACAAACTTAGATTGCAAAGCTATCACGAAAACATCCCCAATATATATATTCCGAACTCAGAAACAGAAACGAACCATCTCTTGAAGGAACACGTGATTCTTACCTGTTCTTGGTGTATTAATTACCGGATGTCTAGTCATACATCAGACAAACTTTATACATGTGTGGTCATACTTTAGCCACACTTCATACATGTTTGGACATACTAAAGCCTCACTTTTAACATGTCTGGTCATACTTTAGCACACTTTATACATGTCTAGACATACTTTAGCCACACTCTATACATGTCTAGACATACTTAAGCCGAACTCTATACATGTCTAGACATACTTAAGCCACACTCTATACATGGCTAGACATACTTTAGCCATACTCTATACATGGCTAGACATACTTTAGCCATACTCTATACATGTCTAGACATACTTTAGCCATACTCTATACATGTTTAGACATACTTTAGCCGCACTTAATATATGTCTAGACATACTTTAGCCACACTCTATACATGGCTAGACATACTTTAGCCACACTCTATACATGGCTAGACATACTTTAGCCACACTCTATACATGTCTAGACATACTTTAGCCACGCTCTCTACATGGCTAGACATACTTAAGCCACTCTCTATACATGTCTAGACATACTTTAGCCACACTTTATACATGTCTAGACATACTTTAGCCACACTTTATACATGTCTAGACATACTTTAGCCATACTCTATACATGTCTAGACATACTTAAGCCACACTCTATACATGTCTAGACATACTTAAGCCACTCTCTATACATGTCTAGACATACTTTAGCCGCACTTTATGTATGTCTAGACATACTTTAGCCACACTCTATACATGGCTAGACATACTTGTTTGATGTTAATGACGAGTAAAAGACGTTGTCAAACTCTTGACTACAAACATGATCTTGAACTTGTACACACTCAGCTTCAGCGTATGGTGATGAAACATCGATTGTGTTGTATGGAAGATGGAGACAGACTGGCAACATTCGTCCTGCAGATATCTAGAGAATCTCACCCGAGTGTCTTTTGTATCAAATATATCAACACGAGTTGATAAAAGTGGCAAAATTCCTCGGCAAGCCTCGGAATTTTTCCACTTTTATCAACTCGTGTTGATATATTTGATATCAAAAGACACTCGGTTGAGATTTTATTTATCATCCAACATCATTCTTTCAACTTTTTTAATTTGCAGACAGTAATTAGCAGTGTCTTCAGTGTGAAAAATACTGCAAAACAGCTTCAGTAGCAGAGCCATTAGTGATTTCATTTGATTGTGACGTCATGGTTACCAGTGACGTCACAATGGTCTGCAAAGCATTGTGATGTAATTTCAGTGTAGATATCGCTTGATCTCACCCACGCGATATCTCCTGTGGGAGCCAGTTTAGGATGATAAAAGTTGTTAAAAATTGACTTCAATATTGTTTGCGTTCATGAAGGTATACACGTAAAAACTGGTGTTCATACTATGTGGTGCATTTACACAATGCTCCACCCATTCTATTATTAGCCAATCAAGAAACAGCAGTCCGTTAGTACCGGACTTACGCAGAGAGTGCACACCTGTTTTTACGTTTATGACTCGATAAAAACAAAAACATATTGAAATCAATTCATTTAAAAAAATACGTCAACAAAACATACTCCACAGGATGTAATTATCAACACACTCACAACTGTAAACAACAATGCTATATCAGTGACATTATTCAGCGCAATAATCCAACGCAAGCCCCTCCCATTCAAACCAGGAAGTGGTACCGTTTGTGAGCGTGACCTAATTTATTTTCGGTTTATGGAAACATTAATGCAAAAACATTTCTCAGTTAGCCAATCAAGTACCTCGGAATTACTTGAAATTTATATTTTTTTATTATAAACATTAAAAGTTTGATTGACAATTTGAACAGCGTTACTTTTTGATTACAAAAAGTAAATGCTGAAATCTACGTCACCAATATAAATAAACTCTGTCACGACCTTTCCTTTTGATGAAAGTGAAGGCTATGGTTTAAGCACAGCAGTGTTCATATTGGGTTTGAACGTTCATTGATGTATCAAACTTGAGCTTTTCCGTGCAAATACACGTGTGCATGATATACTAATGCTATATTGAATCATCTTAATTTGATAGTGAGTTTGGACCCGTGAAGATCCGGTGTAGAATAGGTCATCAGCAACCCTTGCTTGCCGTTAAAAAGTGACTATGCTTGTCATAAGAGGCGACTAACGGGATCGGACGGTCAGGCTCGCTGACTTTGTTGATGCATGTCATTGTATCCCAATTGTGTGGATCGATGCTCATGATGTCAATCACTGGATTGTCTGGTCCAGACTCGATTATTTACAGACCGCCTTCATATAGCTGAGTGCGGCGTTAAACAACAGACAAACAAAATGATAGTGTGTTTGTGTTTCACATAACTCTCAGAACTCGAGACCAGCAATAATTCTACTCTTGCATATTCTGTGCTCCAAACCAAAAACTAAAATCAAACAGAATCTAAATTATGATTTAAATTTTAATTAATTTCATAATGATAAGCAATCCGATCACCTAATAATGATCATCAAATGTACTGAATATACTACTACAGGTCTGTACGTCGGCTACCCACACGGATTGTGCACCAGACCTGTGGCCTGTCAGCCTGTCTGCTATAAAGATATCGGTATTAATGAGAGTATTCACGTAAATTACTTGTGTTACTTTGGGAAGTCCCTAGTGGGATTGTGGGTGAACACGAGCTCCCAGCAACCTGTGCTGGCCACAAGAGGCAGGCGACTTGATTCGTCGAAGTCTGCAATTTAACAGAGAGAGACGCTGCAAAACATTTTCATTGGCAAAAACCAATTCCACTGAACTGTCCACTTTTACACTGAATTTATTTAGTTTGATGGGGTAAAGTATCGTCAAAAGCATTCGTCATTAAATAAATACTTGTATGGAGTAATCGAACACGTCATTCAATGCTAATAACACATGTCTTACTGATAGTGACATTGCATTACGTCACAGCCACATTTCCGACTGTGCCTTAATTGATAAGGCTTACAGTTGATTGAAATATGTGTTCAGTTAGTTATAGTTATAGTTATAGTTATAGTTATGTTTTATGCATTGCTAGTTTCGGACCATATCTTATGAATAATAAAAATACACTGAAGTGGCAGCAAGACCTAGACGTAGGCAATCATCATCGGTAGTTGTAGTGAGTGAGTTGTGTTTAACGCCGCTTTTAACAGTATCACGGTTATATCGCGGCGTGTCAGCTTAATGTGGGAGGAAAGCCCGAAGTGATGCAGGCCTCAGACGTTAACCACTTCGGTGAAACCCACGAGCACGGGTATGGTGCTGACACACCTAGAAACATAATCGGGGCGAATCGGGACATAGGTTTCTGGCGCGCCCAAGGGACGCAACTCTGCACAGCGAATCGCGGCGCCCTAGACGACTGGACCACCCGTGCGGCCTGTACATGTTCGAGTTCGGGCCAGGCAAACCGATGATTTATAGCATGAACACCCTCCACGCCCACAGGGTACCTTGACACAGTGTCAAGCAGGTCACTCATTGTCACCTCCCATACACAGCTGGAACACGTAGTCGGACATTACCCAACACGGAACCCTGGGTACATTCTGGATTATTTACAGACCGCCGTTATATAGTGGTATATATGTAGTACTGTACGTCGCTATGAAAGTCCAATAAACTTGACCGCGACGTTAAATCCTATTTCACCTCACCTATAGCTGTAATACTGCTGATTGTGACGTAACAAACACCCCCTCACCTATGAACTGGCAGTAGAGTGTCCGCCACTCTGATTATTTTGAAGCTATAGCTCTAAAATAAATTAAGGACCACCGCATTCTTTCATATTACTACAGTTATTCTTTCGTGGCATGACAGATTAACTATAGTAAATGAAAGACTAGTACAATCCTTATAACAGATAATATACTGAGGGAAACAAATAAGGGAACATAATTTCATTGCAGTGTCCCTTTATTTATTCCCAGATTTTTACCCACAGTGACATCCATAGCTTGGGAACAACGCCTGGAAAACAATACAGGAGCACTTGTATTGTCATGTGTTCCCTTATTTGTTTCCCTCAGTATATGAGATAATTTAATACAAAATATTGCGCAAGATATTTAAGTCGTCTGATGAAAAGAACATTTTTCTTTGAATTTATACATATCTCACACTATCTATAAAACAATTCAAAGTATTAAGCTTCAGCCGACCGGCCTGTCTGTTAAGCTGCAACCTTATTTTCAGAACAGTCTCTGACTGATGACAGTATGAAGAACTACTGCCTTCCCCGCAGGGAATCCGCAGCTTAGCTGTAACCGCTTAAAATGACAGCCTCCGTTAATTCAAATATCTAATCGAATCCTCATTTTTTTCTTCAAATTTGAACTCTATTCGCACAATGGCAGCACATTTAAGTGCCCCAGATTTAAGATAGTCTCCATATTCATATCTCTCACCAAGCTTGTGTCATTCCGAATCGACTGATCTGGGGTTAATTGACTCAGTTTTTTACATCATTAA